GTATTATCCTGAGGAAGAGGTAAGGAGATCTGGGAAGTGGATGGGGGGGGGGGGGGGCTGAAGGCAAGATCCTTCAGATAGAACCAACAGAATCCATGGAATTGTCATGAAGTGTATCCAGAAATACAAAAACTAAACATACTTAGAAAAAGTACTCATTACTAAAAAACTAGCAAAAACCTAGAATTTTTGTAAGTTTACAAAATACATAAAAATAACAAAGTTGCCAAACTATGAAATTCACTCTAAAACATAAAACAATAAGAAACACCTAAAGTACAAAACCACAAAAGGAACTTATAGGACAAAATACACATAAATATGAAACCTACAAGTCCACTCAAAGAACTAATAAGACAAAGGACACAAAAGTAAAACCTACCCTGAAGAACATGAGAATAAAAAGGCACCGAGTTAAGAATATCAAATTTTGACTCAAATCTAATCCCCAATTAGATGTGACTAGTAGTAAAGAAAAAGGAACTTAAATACTAACATAAATAGTGAAAGGAAGTATAAAAAATGAACAACACACCCACAAAATTGGCTGGATTTACGATTACACAAACAGTAATTATCATGCAAAACCTGTACATATACCAAAAATATGTTTAAACTCTTTTTATATTTTCTTCTTTTGTTAGGTAAATATTTTTCTAAAAATTCACATTTAGACTATTATATGAAATAATGAAAAAAAAACTTTTTAAAGTTGCCTTACCAGCAATAACAAGATGTTGTTTCTATTTACATGTATCTATCTATTACTAACAGACTTCAACAAGGTAATGTCATACCTCTCTTAAGTAGCACTGAACTGCTTGCATTGGAACACTCAAAAACTCCACATGGAGAGGACGTAGCCATGCTACAGAAATAACTTCTTTGTTTCCATAGTCAATGTACTGCACAGTCACAGTGTTACGAGAATTTGGTTGTTGATCTGTTTGTAGTTAAATATCAAAACAACTGTTACTTGCTAATAAAATGGTTTATATTTCAATCTATAATAAAAAAAAATATTTGTTGTTTAAGACTTCTAGGAATAGCATCTTTTTAGATATTACAATAAGAAAACAGTTTTTTTATTTCACGGTCTTTGTTCCACTAATGTTACTGGGCTCGCAGTAATTAACTAATCATGCACTAGTTTATGTGTACTTAAGCTCCTCATTAGATATAACACAGTCATTAAAACACTAATGTGATCATAACTCGTATGTAATGGTTTAGGAAAAGAAAATGCAAAGGTTGCAGATACACCTAAGCCCTTGGGGTCAGAGAACCCTAAAAGGTGTTTTCATTCCAATGATTTATGACTTTTTTACTAAACTCAGAAGAAGGCTTCAATATAGAAGCCGAAACATCGTCCCCTCCTTTTCAATCAACAGACAGTTGCAGGTCATAGAAGTTCTCAAACCATGTATATTCTTATACTTTTTTGGAACTAGAAAAAAAAGACCAATTTTCTCTGAACAGCAGTGCTATTTTTGTTTTTCTGCTTTCTTTTAATTGTAATTTTCATGTGATTTTGTTTTGTAGCCCCCCCCCCCCCAAAAAAAGCATTTTGATCAGTTTATGTCTTTATTTATTTCGTTTTGGACAGATCAGTGCTCTAGACCAAAAGAAAAATATTTTTTCACTCACTTGTAAGTTTGTTTGCCACAAAATAATTTCCTAATAATTTTTTTTTTTCTAAATACTTACCAGACCATGAACAGCCTAGCACCACAGCCCGGTACCAGCAATTATCCTTAGGAAAAATTGCCATGCAATAGCTACCAACTTCTACTGAGCAAAGTTCATTATCCTGATACTGCCGTCCTGCAAACCTAGAAATTTATAGGCCAAAAGTACTCGAGTTATAGTCAAGTGAAAAACAACCCTTCAATAAATTCATATCCTTAACATATCATTCAAAATGATAATTAAAAGAAAAATAGTTTAGTTGAAATATATTATAAGAATGTTATTCGAACAATTAACTGTATCGTGTTTTTCTCAAACCATTACAAAAGAACACCTAATTATCTGAATCCTGGCATCATAACTATACTGCATAAATATAGTGTCAAGCTACCATAACCTTTTTCTTTCATGTAAGTTAACCTTTTTTTTTTAACCCTCTCACTACAGACTGGTCAAAGGGTGCATGTCATGATGTTTTAGTTATTTTAAAAATTTAATTAAACAACTTTATTTTCATTGTACGTCACTAACATTGGCATCACAACATAGTTCATAATTCAACTTTTAATGTTATATATATGCTTTAATTTCTTAATTTGAAAGAAAATATTACAAAAACTACATATGCTTTTTTGTGTGTCATACGCCATGTCTTCTTGTCTTATTGCTCATTTTATATTTTATTACACCTACCATACAATGCCTATAGTGGTAAATGAATTACAAAGTCAACTTTCAGACATTTACAAGGTAGAATATAAAACAAGAATCTCCAACCTTTTTGATTCGCTAAAACATCACTATATTTTGCAAACCTACCAGGATAGGCCCACCCACTGCTCCATTCTTTTGACACTTCTTCTCTACTCATGCCTACTTCTCTTAAGTACTTGTTTATCACCAACAGAAAGATCACATTCCAAGCTACAAAAGTCTGACAGCCACTTGTAACTGGCTTGAAAGGGAAGTTAATATTTTTCTAAACTAAAAATGTATTTCCTATAGATACTTACCTCCTCTCACAAAAAGTTTTCTCAACTTGTACTGCCCTCTATCAGTGCAAATTTTTGCTTGCCACTAGTCTTGCTACTCCTACTTATTACAGCATAATAACATGCAAGTGATCATGCAGTAACCTTCCACCAATAGGAGTCTGACACTACCCTTTCATAACTAGCACTCTTCTAATCATGCACATGTTAATCACTTAAGATGGTTATAACTAACCAAAGCGAATCACACCGGGGAGGAAAGGTGGGAAGTGTGAGCGGAAGTAAGTATGTATTGGAAATACATTTTCAGTTTAGGAAAATGTTAGCTTCCAATACAATATCTTACCTCCTCTCACAAAAAGCTAGAATCTCACAGGGAACTGGTGGAAGGCCGGTGAGAAGATGATCCCAATTTAGGAAGTGCCCAAAGGTAAACCATTAGGTGTGATAAGGAATTATACACAACACACCTGTAGCAGACCACACCACTTCTGAGTCAGGTATACTTTTTGCCCTTTAGTAAAGTGTCACCAAAATGTAAAGGGCAGGAACTTTGAGGGGTTTAAAAAAATAATGGGACCCCCTGGTGTAGAGTGGCTCAGGTGCTTCAGACCATAAATGGGAGTTTAGCCTCAACCTGGCAGCATCTGAAATTGTACATCAGGTTCACAGTAGCAAGAGGGTCGTCTACCTTTCACCTCAAAAAACGTGTACAGGTAGGGATGAGGATCTCCTGTACCAAGATTCCATCTCTGCATATGCACACCTCCAAAACAACCAATACCAGACCCACTGGGAATCAACAATTAGCAAATGGTAGAAAGGAGGAGTCCACAGTAGGAGGAGGGTGCCAGCCAAACACGTCAGGTCTTTTGTGGCTAGACCGTCTCCTACCAACACCCAATCCCCAGGTAGGAAGGACAGTGTTCTCAGTTGGAAGGGCAAACTACAATATATATATACACACATAAATATATATATATGATGGAGTGTTAGATCCAGCACCTGGCAGCATCTAGAATTGTACATCATCTCTGTGGTAAGAAAAGCATCACGTCATTGCCACCTTAAGAATGCCACCACTTTACTCTCAAACTGAGTGGTATTGTGCACACTCAAGAGGACAGGCCTCCATGGTCCATCACCCCAGCAGCTAGGAATTGGTAAGTGGCAAGGACTCCCATACTTCACTAGAAGAAGGAAGGAAAAAGTGCACTGGAGAGTCCAGAGGACCGCAGTACTGGAGACAGTGCAATGGGTGACTGCAATATCCTATTTTGAAAAACAGAGCAATCACACTGACAAAGTGCATCATCCAACTCCTGGTGGCATCTGGAATAGTACATCAGGTCTGCGGTAGGAAGAGCCTCAACTGCCATGAATCATCAGATATGAGCAGTAATCTGTCTGCTTCACTCATGTTAATCCATGAGTATACAAGTCTGGAATGAACATATTCATGAAGCAAAAGACCATGAGGCATACCTATGAACAGTCCAGCGGAACACCCCATCTCAACAGTCAGCGTAATATGATCTGGATAAATGTTATAACATTGTATTTTGAAAGCACAGAGAACACATTGACGGAGTCAATCAACCAATATCTGGTGGCCTCTGGAATGGTACATTAGGTCCACAGCAGGAAGAGTCTCAATGTCATAGTCATCTAGCATGTTCACAGGTTGTACAGTGCAGAATTAAGACTAAGTATACCTGGTCAATTAACACACGGCACATAGTGGGATCCAAATACAAGATTAAGTCCCTTGCAAAGGAAAGAAAAATGAGCAGAGTACTTACCACCACAGACAAAAAGTTACAGCACCCAAGGGAAGATGGAAATGTGCAGCCAGGGACACGGTAAGGTGACGGATCTGATGGGAAGAAAACATGAAATAGATGACAATCATTAAGAGAAAGGGAAGAAAACACCAGGTGAACAAAACCTGGCAAATTCAACCCAGAAGGGTAATGGGAAAGATGAGGATTTCACTGAAGAAACAAACAGACTCAGGAACCACAGAAGGGAGTAGTATGTGTCAGAGAGCCCTGACTGGGCAAAGGATGTGGATGGGATCAGAACAGTCATAAAGATGGGAAAAAGAGGGAAGGGAATGGGATTGTGAGACAATAGGGGAGATGAATGGAAGTAGGGACCAGATGTACTGTAACAATTTTCAGAACCCATGGCTCAACCCACCACCCCCAAAGGACCTCCTAAAGTGGGCAACTTAAAGGAGTCTGGCCCCACTATGTGAGAAGTGACACCAAATGCTTTGAGCCCAAGTAAGGGAAGTTGGAACAATAATAATCAAAAGCATGATAGTTCACAGTATGTGGGGTCGAGGCATACTGACCCCCAAACACAAATGCTCCCAAAAAACATCTTGCATGAACCTCAATAACTGGAAGAGGAGGAAACACTAAATAATGACCCAAAGGCTCATCCCGAAGAAGGGCAAGGGTTGAACATAGGAAACGGAAGATTAGAACAGAACATAACATACCTTAATAACAAATCTACCAAAGGAGAAAAACATCTGGATGAGTCCGCTGAAACAACATGTAACTAAGATGCATATTCAGGAAGTGGAAAAAAGTTGTCCAAATCCAAAGCTAAAAGATCACTGAAAACCTTGTTAGGACAATCATCAGCGTGTTCTGACTGTTACATGAAAGTGGCTAACACACAGACCACAGCTGTCACTTCATAGGCCGAGAACCGTGGTTTCAACCTGTTGGGTGTGGTCGGTAATTCTGCTACTGCAGTAAGAGCAGTCGTAGTCATGACCACCCAAAACTGCGAGTGCATGACTCCCGAAATTCAAAGAGGAGAGAAGATAAAATAAAATAAATCATAACTCTCCAAGAAACAGAACAGAAACATAATAAACCTAACCCTAATACAATTTCTACCTACTCAATGTAATGTTAAAATCAGAGCTCACTGATATAAATATATGATCTTTTGGGGAAATAATGTCATAGGATGCAAGAGCAAGTAACCAAATCTTACTTTGGACCTGAAGGTTATTTGGTGTATTAGCTTAGGTGTGAATTAAAGTCTGGAGTGTGATAGATGAAACAACCAACAAGACGAACTGCATCAGTACTTACTATAGTAATTTCTATGGCATTTTGTATAAATCATTACTGACATTGTTATACTTTTTCATTTATGTTTATAGTATTTAGAAAAGAAAATTGAAATATCTTAAAGAATAATGTCATTGAAAATTTATAAATCTTGTAGCCAGTAGATCTACAATAGAAAGAGTATATTCTATATCGTTGAAGTTTGGTGATTTTGGAATAACTGTCAAATTACTGCCCTTCTACATACACTAAATAAAGAACTGATATTGTTAGGGAAAGAATCCACCAACAGTTGCAAAAAATAATGGTATAAACTAAAACATTATTTATTTAACACACATCTAAAGTATGACCTTAAGTTTTAGAAACTAATTCTATTTCATTTCTAAGAGTTATAAGCTGGAGCGTAACTGAATGACCATAAATACAAAATAATCCAACTTATAATTTCAAATTCGATGACGAGAAACCCACTTTAAGACTAATAATGACTGGAGACGGCTTGAATGGGTAATGAGGAAAAACTTTAATATAACAGCAAATGTACAACGTTTCGACAAGGTTTTGTCATCATCAGGTACAAGTAATTTACACTGTAAGTTACTTGTAAATTACTTGTATCTGATGATTACAAAACCTTGTCGAAACGTTGTACATTTGCTGTTATGTTAAACTTATATTAAAGTTTTTCT